TAGTACAATTAAAGTCAAATCGAACTCGAATTAGTGAAATCGAACTCGAATTAGTGAAATCGAACTCGAATTAGTACAATTAAAGTCAATTTAGTACTAATTAAAGTCAAATTAGTACAATTAAAGTCAAATTAGTACAATTAAAGTCAAATTAGTACAATTAAAGTCAAATTAAAGAAGACGAAGAAGGTGAGATTTTTTATTTAACTACAAATATATATTTTTTTTGTTTGTTTTTATTTATTTGTCCGGTCGAATTACTGATTTTTACAAAAATTAATTAATTAGGTGAACAAGAAGAAGAACCAGCCACGCCTGGACCGACTGCAGGATCGTCTTCTTCGAGACCGGGGCCTCGGAGAGGGTCCCGGAATCGTAAGGCTAGGATTGCATATACTCCTCCTAGTTAGTTAGGTTGTTTTGTATTTTGTGATTTTGTGGACATTTTTTTTTCTTTTATTTTTTGTACTCGATTTTTAGATATTTATTTTTTATGGTTTTGTATACATTTTTTGTGGTTCATTTTTTTTTTATCGGTAATTGTGTGTTGACTTTTTTTATATAGTGTTTTGTATATGTATGTATGAATGGTAGATTTATAATTTGACGAATGAATTGATTGATATTAATGTGATATTATTTCATGTTCAAAATGTTAAATCAATAATTATAAAAAATCTTTATATTGAAGGATAAGAATAAAAATTCAGCTAAAATAAACGCGATTGCTGATTAAACAAGTTCGTCAGTATCAAAAGGACACCAAAAGAAAAAAAAAAAAAAATACGTAAAACACGGATTTTCAAAATCCGTGTTTGACTCATTTTGACCAAAAAACGGATTATGAAAATCCGTGTTTCGTTTGACATTATTCTTAAACCGTTTTCACTTGACTTAATTAATATTAAGCACGTGATTAAGCAAACACGGATTACCAAAATCCGTGTTTCGGTCAATATAAGTCAAACACGGATTTTGAAAATCCGTGTTTTGGTCAGAATAAGTCAAACGCGGATTTTCAGAATCCGCGCGTTTTAAATTTTTCCACACACTTTTTTTTTTTTAATTTTTGTCCACAGAATTTTTTTTTATTTCATATAAATAAATGATTCGTAAAGGTATGTCTATAATTTCTCTTTTTTATTAATGACTCACATATATAGTATTCAAATTAATAACATGAATATTAGTTTTAAAAAAAAAAAGATTTCTGTGGGCATGAATAATTTCTTGAACATTGAATGATTTCTGGACCAGAAATCATTCAGAATCGCAGAAATCGATTTCTAGCATTTCTGGTCCCAGAAATGGATTTCTGGTGCAAGAAAGTGATTTCTGCGATTTGTGGTTTCTGGTCCCAGAAATCGATTTCTGTCTCCAGAAATGACTAAGAAATTGATTTCTTTGCTTTCTGGGCCAAGAAATCGATTTCTGGACCCAGAAAACCGATTTATGGTCCCAGAAACCAGAAGATCCAGAAATCGATTTCTGGTCCCAGCAATCGATTTCGTGGACCAGAAATTAATTTCTGCGATTTCTGGTACCAGAAATCTATTTCTGTCTCCAGAAATGACCAAGAAATCGATTTCTTTGCTTTCTGGGCCAAGAAATCGATTTCTGGACCCAGAAAACTGATTTATGGTCCCAGAAACCAGAAGATCCAGAAATCGATTTCTGGGTCCAGAAATCGATTTCTGGGACCAGAAACCACAAATCGCAGAAATCAATTTCTTGCACCAGAAATGAATTTCTGGTGCAAGTTTCTGGGACCAGAAATTGGTTTCTGGTATTTCTGGTGTCAGAAATCAATTTTCTAGGTCTTGAAATCAATTTCTGGGACTAGAAATTGATTTATGTACCCAGAAATTGATTTCTAGCCAATGATGTATCCCAGAAATCGATTTCTGGGGTCCCCCAGAAATCTGTTTCTGGTTCGTATAAACCATTTATGTGATTCCAAAAATCATTTCTATTTCAAATTTTATTTGTTTTGTTAAACATTGATTGCTTAATTACTAATTATTGGGAATTATTTGTCAGTAAAATAATTTTGCATCTTTGTTTTACAGATGTGTGAAAAAGTTCGAATTGCGCATAACGGTTTTGGGATGAGAATGTTTATAAAAATGGACAGGCAGAGATGAACTTTATGTGTTTGGGGAGTTTGTCGTATGAAGACTTCTTGATGGCCAATGAAAATAGAGAGTTGGAAAAATAAAAAATTTCTTGTGAATCTAACTTGCACAATTTGGTCGAATTGTTCCAAATTGCTTGCACATTGTTATTATATAAGGGAGGTTGAACAAAAGAGTTAGAGGTCAACCTCATTATTTGGTAAATAACTTGTTTGTGGATGACCACGATACGTATCTATGTCTTCCTACAAAATCGTATAAATTTTTGTATGATATTTTTTTTTCCAAATTTTAATGATATATAAATCTCAACTCACCATGTACAGATAATCGCCACCAGTGTCTGTGTAAGCAAACAATGTGACAAAATTGTAAATACATCGATGCAGCGATCATTAAGCTTCACGTAGGTTGTTGTCATATATTAATGTTATTAACCATATTTGGCTCTAACATGCAGATAACAAATTAGGCAAATCCCAAATGTGAATCGTTTAGATATAAGATATCACTAAGTACTAAATAAACAAATCCAACAGGGCCAAAATCCAAATGTATATCATCTATCCGATCCACCACACATTTAATATAGAACAAGAGATGAGGCTTCTTATGACTGTACAGGTTTCATGGCTGAGATCATCAGTCTCTGATGCAAGTGAAGTTCACAAGTCCGCTAGACGTACACAGATCCTCGAGTTCTGCCTCGCTTAAAAATACACGACTGCCTGACACTTCTGCAACAATCTGCACCCAAAATAACTAATTAATCAAACCATTACTGATAATAGGAGCAAACCATCAATTAAGACAACATTTTTTTCTGACCTAAATTAAGAATGTTTTGGGATTTTGCTAAATACCTGACACATAGTGGCACGTAGCGGAATATATGAAAGGGGACCGTCTACTATGTACGTTGTGGCAACAAATATCTAGACATGGCCACAGGCCGACACGGCCCGTGGACCCGGACCTGCCCTTAACCGGCCACCTAAGGGCCGGTTCATTTAACCGGACCGTGAGTGCCGCGGTTCGGTCCCGGGCTGCTCCATTTTTATTTTTGTCCCGGCGGTCCAGGGCGGGCCGGGTCCGGGTCATAAAGTTTTTTTTTTTTTTTATATTCTGCGGGCCGGAACCGGCCGTAAGCAATTTCCGGTTCGGTCTCGGGCCAGGGTGTTTAGGACTGTTGGCCCGCCGGGCAGGGCCCGGACTCGTTGAATGGCCATGTCTACAAATATCCCTCCAGGTTTCAAAACACGGCTTATTTCTGCAACCTATTAAATCGTAAATAAAAAATTTGACGAGTGGTTATAATAAATTAGCACAAATGTACAAATCTGAAATTTAATGCCCCTACTTCCTTCTTTCATTTTTTTTTTTTCCAATTTTATAGGAGTCGATAATTTTTTTCACTTAATTATATACTGGTTCGAGTGATAGGACGAATAGTGGGAACGGTAGTGGGTACCCAATAGAAAGTACCTCAGCTCAAGTGGATGGTACATCTTTGTAACCTGCAAAAAGGGAAATAAAATGAAACAACTGCAAATGAACTAATTGACAATCGATTTCTGGGTCCCAGAAAACGTTTCTGGTCCCAGAAATTCCAGAAATCTCAGAAACAATTTCTGGACCCCAGAAATCCCAAAACGATTTTTGGAATCATTTATGAATCCTAGAAATCTCAGAAATGATTTATGGTACAAGAAATCGATCACAGAAATCGGTTTTAGTTCAAATTTTATTTGTTTTATTATATAAGACATTGAATCATATGTAAGACATGTTTTTTGACATTGTCGTGTCAAAAATATGACAATTGGAAAATATGTAAATTCAACCATAAAAAGCGAGTAAATTATCTCATATCTGGGATGTTAATATTTATTAATTTGAAAATAAAGAAAAGTTGATATACCCATGGACAATGCATCTCTGCCACCAAATTTTCAACTGGTAAAAATAAGTTCTTTCGCCATCAACTTTCCAACCAATTTAGGAAGCCTTTGTGTTCCCCCCAGTCCTGGAAAACGCTTTTCATCAAAATTAGACAGGTACACCTAGAAGATATTTGCTACTTATTGGAGCACTTACTAGATATAGATAGTCATATAGCGACCAAATAACGATAATAATAATAATAATCATTAAGCAGGATGTAGAAATCATAACTAATAGATATAGATAGTTGTATATCTCCATTAATTACACTTTGAATGTGAAAAAAGAGCAGGATGTAGAAATCAAAACTAATATCAGATCGGTAGTTTGAGATGGTGTTTGTGTATGATTAAGCAGCCCACTTCAGAAAGGACTGGGCTTTAGCTCGCGCACCAGTTTGTTACCGAGATATGAGTGAAACCAAAACGAGAATGTACCTTACCGTTATACAGTTCAAACAATAAAAATCTCACATAAAAATCGCGCACCAATTAGTAACCGTGACATGAGTAAGCAGCCCACTTTTGCTTTTATATTAGCCAAGGTCTCAATCTCATCTCCCCCAACTGACCAAGCAAATTAAACATCATACAGTCCAAACAATAAAAATCTGTCCAAGGTCTCAACATCATACAGTCGATATAAAACAATAAAAATCTGTCCAAACATTCACATTCATGCCATGATAGATGCGCATTAAATGCCCTAATTACACATATTTATAAGCCTAAGAAGCAAAAACTCAAGCATTATGGCAGAAATTAATCAAATTATGCCATCAAATCGAGTAAACCCAAACTTTTGCTCAAGGAGAAAAATGAAACTTACAGGAAAGTGGAAAATCTGAGTTTGATCAGTAAACTTCAAATATGAATCCAAAAGTTCAATATATTAAAAAATAGTAAACGAAGAATCAACAAAAAGTAAAAGGCCAACAGGAAAAACTATGATTGATCCCTTGTTTGACCATCTAAAACTAGTTTAAAAGCAAGCATCCTGGTTAAAAGAAGCTTAACACATGCTCCGCTGATCCTTACCTTGATATAATTGACTGAATCAAGTGTAAAACGATGATAAATCCCAGCTGGTAGGACAATCAAGGCCCCTTTCTTAACCCAAACGCGGATACAAGACTCATCACGATCTCGCACATCAAAATAACCTTTAAAAGAATATATTTACATATACATGTGAGAATAAAATCAGTTAGATTCTTAAATTTCACCAATTCAACTTATAGTCACCATGCACTCACCACTCCCTGCAACACAATACCAAATTTCCTCATCAGTATGCAGACGTTCTTCAAAAATGTTCTTAATCTTCTCGTCGTAGTTTGGAAGCTTTTCCGGACAAACTTCGCAAAAGTCCTGACATTTGTTACAAGTCCAATCAAACTAATATTACACAGGAAAACAAATAACCATTTTTCAAAGAAAAATAATCAAATTAAAACAAATAATAAAAATCCTCAAATATCCAAACTTTACAACTACCATACCATGTCCACGAGCTTCGCGAATTGTTTTCAGCTCTGGATCTGTTTCATAGTTGTCAGCATCTAACCTCCAGCTAAGCACTTCAAGCTCTATGAAATAATGGAGAAAACCCTAATCCAAATCTGAGTTTAGAAAAAAAACAATAATCAAACCAAAAAAAATTAATTCAAACAAAAAAAAACACTAATTCAAACAAAAAAACCCTAATAAAAAATGAAGGGACTCCTAATTCGAAACCAAAAAAACCCTAATTCGAACCAAAAAGGTAGGTCGTCACTTTCGCTACCTGATTTCAGATTCCGACGAGGTCGTGAAGAGTCGTGAAGGCGAGGTCGTGAAGAGTGAAGGGCAGAGGTGGAACTCCTCGGACGGTGTTCTGTCGTGAAGAGTGAAGGCGAGGTCGAGGTCGTGAAGGCGAGGTCGATATCGATATCGTGAGGTCGTTCGGACGGTGTTCGGACGAGGTCGAGGTTGCGAGCTGTTCGAACGGTTGTAGGTTTGCCGTGAAGAATGAGGATGTTTTTTTGAAGATGAATTTTCGGACGCGGGTGGATGAATTTTTGAAGTGAATTGAATTAAATTGGGGCAAAGAAAAATAGTTTAAAGGTAAAATTGAGTTAGGGGTAGCTTAGTAAAAACACATGCCAAAATGGCTAAAAAAGATGTTTTTTTGCAAACATGGCCAAAATTTGTGTTTTGTATATTTATATGGCTATTTAGTGGTATTAACACTAAATATATAGAATTGAATCGTCGGCGCTTATTGTCTGTGCTGTCCACACGTCTTTCCTACTTGTTCACCTACGCCACCGTCCTCGCCCTCCCTCTCCGGTGCGCTGCGACTACTATCTATATCCTCGCTTCTTAATTCTTATTTCTGCTCTTTTTTCCTTTTCCCGTTCAAGTTCTATCTGTTTTTCGGTAATTTCGTTGCCCAATTTTCGTGGTTTTCGTCTTCTTCTGCTGAGGATTCTGTGTACTGCATAATTTAATTGATTATGGTGATTGGAATTGATGGACAAATACGCAGATACGTGATCATTCAGATTTTGATTATCCTAAATTTTGGAGTCGGCTTTATTTCTTTGATTAGACGGCAGAACGTTTCTCTCGTGTCGTGTTACCTAGAATTTTGGTGCTTAAACGAGAAATTCGGTAGAAGAATTTTCAATAGGTTCCTAGGTTTCAATGATAAAGCTCTGCGGTTGTGGTTGATGAGAAGTTTCTGATGAACTTCAGAGGTTGATGAATCACGATGAACTGTTTACAAGCATGCTAATATGCAAATTTACTGATAAGTGGTATGCCGTGTAATTCGATGTATTCATTCCCCGGACAATTTCTTGCATATTCCCCATCAATTTTCGACTTGATAACGTTAGATAGAATGGAACCAGCAGCTTTCTTTCCGCCGTCATACATATTTTTAGTTAATTTATGGTGAGTAGCGATTGCTAGATCTCGTTTTGTCGACTGTTGTCTGCAGCTTTGAAAAACTCGTTATTACTTTTTTGGCAAACTACCTAAGTTGTTTGTAAATCTATTGGTGGAGTTTCTTTTACGAGCAAATCTATTAAAGTTGAGAATCAGTTTTTCTCATTTGTTTTTCTCTGCGTATGATTTCTGTGTATGATTACATATTTTATACTTCCTCCATTTTGAAATATAAGGCGTATAAAAATTTCTCAATTTTTTGAAATATAAAGGGCGCTCAAAAATTAAGACAACTTTTTGTATTTTTTTCTAAATATACCCTCATTGTGTTGAAATTAATGAAGTGTGGAGTGGTTGTGATTAAAATAAATAAGGTTAATTTAATCAATCTATTCATTAATTAATGTCTCTTAATATTTGTGCAATAACCTTAAATGCCTTATATTTCAAAATGGAGGGAGTATTTAGTCTTTAGGTTTCACTTTGTCTTGGGACTTGCAAATGGACAGCCTTATACTCATTTCTCATTTTTTTGGCTATAATAATTGAATTCAGCGCTATGTTTTTAACTGGCTAAAGGTTGCTCCCAACACCGTTATTCGAGTGGTTGTATATGACTTCATCTAATTTGTTATCATGCTGTAATTCTCATTGGCCCCTGTAAACTGTAACATTTATCTGCCATTGTACTTTATATATTCCACCTGCCTTTTGCCTTTTGGTGCACTAATCCACGTAAAATTTTCTCCTGTTTCAGATAAATAACTCATCGGTTGAAACAATGGACTTCCTTTGCAAACCAATGAATCAGGAGACTTCTGATTGCTTCTTGAGCCAGCAGGATATGAACAAATGACCTTTTTTGAGGAACATACACAAACCAACCAATTTTTCGTTCGGTTCTTTGAATCTCCCAACAGTAAGTTATTATTAGAAAGATCATTCTGATTTTATTTTCTCTACATTATTTTTATCCGTACCTACTCTCCTTTCAGTTTTCTCATTTTTATTATTATCTTTGTTTCAATTTCATATGCATAATAATAGTTATCTTCTTATTTTTATTTATACTCAGTTTAAGGTTGCCAATGGCCCGATTTTCGAGGATGGTCCAAACTTTGAGATGGCCTTCAAACTCTTCCACGGTAAAGACGGGGTTGTCCTTCTCTCTGGCAGCTCTCAAATCCATCTTAACCAACATGAGACAGGAGGCTGCACCAGAATTCAACCCTTTAGCATCAAGAGCTGCCTCTATCAGCATGTCATCATTTGGTCCAGGTGGACCTTTCGGTTTCAATTCTTTCTTTGGGAAGATGCAGAACAAGAAGCCTGATTCATCCAGAAAGAGAGAGCATTCCTCTAAGGTTCGTTATTAAAATTTATACTATATTTCTTCTATCATGAAGCAACATATGCTAATTACAGTTCCTTGTGTGCAAGCACCTTGTGTGGAGCAGCTAATAGAAGTAGATAGTTTGTGCTGCTAGATTTAAAGTTTGCTTCCCCTCCAACGTGGGAATTCGATTATTACATAATAGTTTGGTAGATAAGTATATCATAATGTCATTTGAAACCCTTATGCTTTCAATTTCAATACAAAGCGCATCCTCTTTAAGTTCCTTCTTAGTAATCAGGATATGCATGTTTTTTTTGCCCACTTGCTAAATTTTGTACTTCTTTCCCTAATTTGTATCCTTTTTCAGGGTGACTTGTCAAAACACGAGGCGCTTGGGAACGAATGGCTCGAGAAAGGCAACTGCCCCATCGCGAAATCCTACCGAGCAGTCAGCCACATCCTCCCTCTTGTGGCGGCCTCCCTTCGCCCGCCGCCCGGAATCAAGCTCAAGTGCCCGCCAGCTGTCGTGGCTGCCCGGGCAGCCCTGGCCAGGACAGCGTTCGTCAAGAGCATCCGGCCACAGCCGCTGCCTGCCAAAATACTCGTGATTGGGGCTCTGGGGATTGCCGCCAATATCCCATTGGGCATATGGACGACAAAGTTTTCCCTGTCGTGGTTTGCGGCTGTTCATGTTGCAGTGCCCTTCATAGCCATGCTTAGAAAGTCGGTGGCCATGCCCAAGACTGCCATGGCTCTCACCATCTTGGGCTCGGTTATCGGGCAGATGATCGGGTCGCGGGCCGAGAGGATCCGGATGAGAGTCGAGGCTGAGAGGGTGGTGGGGACAGCTGGCGGTGGTCGATGTGGGAAGGGGATTGAGAGTACGGCCCCATTCTCGTCCATCATTAGCGTGTGATCGTGTGGTTTGGATGAAAGCATGGATGGTGTTGAGGCTTTATAGACATGACGTAATGTATTTTTTTTTTTTCATGTAATTGATATTGTTCAGGAGTGTGATGGGAAGATGGCGATATACAACTCATAACAGGTTGCCAGTTTGGTTTATTAAGTGTATTATTGCTAACTGTCTGTACTGCGCAATGCATAGCGCGGTATGGACATGCTTACGATGTTATTGAAATTGCAGACTGTATTGTTTAAGTTGAACGTAGATGATTGTATTGTTTAAGTTGGACGTAGATCAGAATCATTTTTGAGTTAGCAAATTTGGTGAAATATCGAGATGATTGTTCAGGGGATCGTATTTTCTTTTGACCACTAAGTTGATGATTGCGATGGAACTTCGAAAATTTGCTGAGAAATGAAAAGTTTAAGACGAAAGTAGAGGCTGACGATGGACGTCTGAATGGCTATATCTGTATTCTGTCACCATATTTTTGCCCAAGTGAACTTATTAGCCATAAGTATAGGAATGAATGGAAAATTAAACTATATATATAATTTAATCAATTTTTTTGTTGGGAGAATCACATTTTTATATATATTTAATTACCTGAACACAGGCGGTTTCTCATAAATTTTAAATATTTAAATAATTTAATTTCCTAAAATATTTTGCAAACTTCATACATATTTAAATAAATTTTGGATTTACTAATACATTTTGCAAACTTTATATTGTTGTTTGATGGATCTCTTCATCACCCTCTAATAATTTATTATCAATCTACTATATAAATATGTAAATACACTATTTATTAATTATTATATAATAATTTAATATAAAATTAGTATGATAAGAATAGTGAATAATAGTTTAATATATCTAGTATAATAGATGAGTGCACCCAACCAACAATAACAATCATCAAAACTATATCCTCCCAACCATCAACACAAACATTGGATATGTCTTTGTTAGTTAACTTCCCTGCGTTCGAATTCAAAGGCTAGCAATTGAAAACAAGTGTTGCAAATTAGTCAAACTTGTTCTCATCTTGTTTGAATAACATTTTTCGAGTTCTTTTATCTTTCATTTTATTTAGGAAGTACAGGGAGTAGTGGTTAGGAAAATAATTTAAGAAGTAGTAAGAGAGTTAGTTGAGATTTTTTAGGGGCGTTTCTTGTAATGTTGTGGAAGTACAGGGAGTAGTGGTTAGGAAAATAATTTAAGAAGTAGTAAGAGAGTTAGTTGAGATTTTTTAGGGGCGTTTTTTGTAATGTTGTTTTGATTTTTTTCAGCAGAAAACATATTGGTTTTTAACCAAAGCTGTCATTGTCTTCTCTTAGCACATAAGTCATTTCCTATATTCTTTTTGTTACGAACAAGGATATATTTATATCAAAAGTAGACAACAACATATAAAAAAAACGCAGAAAGAAGTATTAAATTGCTCCACTAATTGAAATATAGTAGAATAATAGTTTTCGCACAACAACATATAAAAGAAACGTATAAAGTACTAAATTACTCCACTAATTGAAATATAGTAGAATAATAGTTTTCGATTGCAGTAAGTTTGCATTAGTTTTTTTTTTTCTGAACGGCAATTAACTATTATAGCTCAAATCAAAATAATTACATCCATCGTTTATCAAGAGGTAACAAAGTTTCCACCAACTTACATACCCAATGTTGGAGGAAACTAAGAGGGGAGACATGCATAATACCATGCACCCCTTCCACACAAGAGACAAAAGTGGTGATAATGAGTAGAAATCCTCTTAGTAAAAGTGACCAAACCGTTCAAAAATGAAAATGGGGTTTTATTGGGCCCTTTTACATATTTGTTATATTTTTTTAACTTATTTTATACAATACAATATTCAAAATAAAATTATACATAAATTGTCCACAAACGATTTATAATTTTAAATAATTGCAACTTAAAATCAATAATAAAATAAATCATTAATAAACCATACGTAAGTAATGAAAGTTAGGATATTTACAATTACCCAAAAAAAATTTATAAATTTACAAATAAAATAATAATTGTAGGTGTACCGAGTATTTTCTCATTTTATTTTCATGAATTGTTGTGGGCTTGGCCCACGTTATACCAAATAAACGAGCCCTTATACAGCGACCACCTCCATCACAAAACCCCTTTTCACTTTCCCAATTCTTGCACAGCTTAAACCCACCACTATGCACTGCTAATCTCCAAGGTACGATTTTTGTTCAGCCATTGCATTACCTCGACTAAAATCTCGAATTCCAATCAAAGTCGTTTTTTGTGCAGGGAGAAAATGGGTTGGAAGGCAGCGCAAAAACTAATCCACCACTGGAAGATACTTAGAGGTGATAATGTAAGGAAAAATGGGTATTGTGCGCTTCCTTTGAACATATTGTTTTGAAGTCCCTTTTATCGCCTATGGAAATCTGTTCAAGTTTCATTATTTATTTATAAATGGCAGGTTATGATAATGAGGGGTAAAGATAAAGGGGAGACTGGTATCATCAAGCGAGTAGTTCGTTCTCAAAATCGTGTGATTGTCGAGGGCAAGAATTTGGTGAGATTTGCCTGTTTTTTTCCTGCACTTAACGAATTACAATGGGAGGGTCTTTTCTTTTTCCGGATGGACTATTTCGAGTGCACATTTAATCCAGTTATTTTGTTTGTTGTCTTTTAGGCGAGTCTGAGTTGGGTGTAAAGGAAGTACTGAAAAATTAAAAACTTTTTAGTGGAAGACTATGTCATTCCTGTTATTTTAAAATATAACCATGTAAAAGTAATCTAAACGATATTTTTGCAAGCTGGTAAGGAAGCCAGATTGTTTTAGTGATAATGTGAATTTGGGGAAGATATATCCTTGCTTTGGATCTTGTCTGTACTGTTTGGCTTTTCGTTCTATATTTTACGAGCACATCTCATTCTCAAGTTGAAATCCATCGGCAGGTGAAGAAGCATATCAAGCAAGGGCAAGGTCATGAAGGTGGGATTTTCTCGGTGGAAGCTCCCCTTCACGTCTCAAATGTTCAGGTTTTAGATCCAATTACAGGGTGAGATGGGAATGCCTATCCCTTTTTTCCAGTCTGAAATTTCTTAGAGATGGTGGCTCACATTTACTCTTTTAGGAAGCCCTGCAAGGTTGGGATCAAATACTTAGAAGACGGTAGCAAAGTACGAGTATCCAGAGGAACAGGGGCATCGGGATCAATAATTCCTCGTCCAGAGATCTTGAAGATAAGGAGCACTCCTAGACCAACCATTGGTGAGTTTCAGATTCATGCAGTTTTGTCCGTTGTTTGTATGCTCCATTGTCACTTTTGTCTATCTAGAGCTCTGGACATAGCTAGTAATTTCGAAAAATGGCCATGATTGTGTGTTCAGTTAAAGATGTGAAAGGATGATTGAATTCCCTTGGAAGTTACCTTGTTATGAAACTAGTATGTATCGTGCGGTTGTGCCCGATTGTTGTTGGCATTTTTTGTGGTGTCATATGATTATGCCTAAATATGGTTCTCTTACATTTTTCATCACTGTACATCAAATTCTGCTATGCAACAAACAATTTAAAGGGCGATACTTAACATTTTATACATGAAATCTTAAGTGACTTAATTTATCATTATTTTTAGTAGAACTTCCATTTTCTTTTGTTGCACATGAAATTTAGACGGTCACTGACTCCCTGTTAGATTGAAGTTATGAGTAGCATTTTGTGTTCCTGTTTCTCCTTTTGGTTCTTCATTTCTCTAGTCTTTTGTGCCACCATAAGCTGAAAGGCAGGAACTTATGTCATTTCATGGGATTACAAATTACCACATAGCGGGCTGTTAAGCTTTGCAGAAATTTCTGCTTTTTGATGAATAGAGAAATACAAGATTGACTTGATGAACTCTATTTTAGCTGGAATTAGTTTTTCTAGATACACCACATAGATCTGGTGTTGTTCTTCACAGATTTACTATTATTTTTAGTTAAGAGCCTTGACTATGTCTGATCCGATAGAGAAACCATCAACATGAGATGCTACTGCGAAATCTATTTCCTTTTAGTAGGGTTCAATGAGGTAGAATAGCATTATATGAAGCTAGTATAACTCGTAAGATTATTTGGTGAAGACCAGCAGTTATTGAGAAAATAGCACATTTTTGAAACGGAATTTATAGGTGAAATGTTTGTTTCTTGCGGTCTTATTTGAATAACTGGCATATTTAGGACGAGGTTTTTTACTATTCTGTCTTTCAGCAATTGAGTTGATAATGCAAGGCTTTACTACACCCCTTTTTGATAAGATATTACAGAGATTTATTTATGTGATGATTGGAACAATATTTGCTTAGTCTTGTTTCTTCTTATGCAGTTGGCCCGAAAGACACTCCAATGGAACTGGTCTTGGAGAAAACTTATGATGCTAAAACTGGCAAGGGAATGCCTGATCTTTAATTATTATTATGGAAGCTGCTAGAGAATGGTGTTATTCTAGTTGCTTTTATTTATCTATTTCCTTTAGCAGTTTCTATTGTGTTTGTGGCTTGGAACACCACTCTTGCAACTTGGCTTTGCACTTGGATTATTGTAACAGTGGTCTTCTTATCAAGTTTATAAAATATTTAAGTTCCAGCTTCAATCAACTTTTAGAGGGGCTTAAAGAGAGCAGAAAGTTGAATTGTGAGAGAAAGGATATGTAGTACATTAAATGTGTGCATGTAACTGTGTTTCCAGTTCAACCTTCTCATTTTGACAATCTGTATTTTTGGTTTTTCACTTTTTGTAGTGTCCACCCATTTTTTACCCTTATTGCCTGCTCTACTCTCGAGGATTCATGTTGAAAATGTATGGATAATGTGGGTGAATTCATTTTCATCACCGGAGGTGATGTCAGTCGCAAGCAATAAGGAGCAGAAGGGTTCTCCCTTTCTCTCACGGGAGGAAGATTTTTAGGTTGTTTTCTTGAATTTATTTTACTTTCTCTGCGTGCAATCTAGAAACTCCAGCTTGGTGTGTTATTTCTTTTTATGTGTGTGTGTGTGTGTGTGTGTTTTAGCACGTTATGATAACACTTGTGGAAAGGGCTAATTTGCTGCGGGCAACGGCTCTAGGTTTTCTGTAGTTGACTAATATAATAATTTACGGTACTGCGGGAAGAAAAACACAAAATCATCCAAAGTCTGTGAGGGTGGCAACATGGTATTATCGCCCATGAATACGTGTTAGACACAAGTCAAGATTCACAAGATATGGCCACAGGCCCACAAGGTAGCACACGAACAAACATTACAAAAAAGAAACTTGAGAGAGAAACAATGCAGAATTAGGATACATGTCAGCCATAGAAGGCCTATCACTTTTTCTCATAAGCATGAAAGAGAGAACTCATAACCAAATAATGTACATCGGCAAAAGTTAAAACATATTACTTTGAAACTTACCACTTACCAGTCACAATGACAATCCCATCCTATGGACCATCCCCTCAACAACCCCACAGCAATACCTCTTCACAAAATCACAGTTCCCAACACCCATACAAAATCAGAACCTAGCCTGGCAGAGCATGCTTGTTACTATTTTAGTTATTTCAAAACCCACCCACATGCTGCTTAGGTGGCATTCCATATCTCCCAGGACCCACATTACTGCCGCTATATGCTGAGTCACCAGTATTGCCCGTCCCAGGGCAATCCCTCGCCCAATGCCCCATCTGATGGCATTTGAAACAGTCACCAGAGGCACCTGCCCCAGGGTTCACATTACTACCGCCATATGCTGACTGACCAATATTGCCCGTCCCTGGACAATCCCTTGCCCAATGCCCCATCTGATGGCATTTGTAACACTCACCTGACCCACCAGATGTCACCTTATTATTGCCAAAACCACCTCCATATGATTTTTCAACACTCGGGCAATTAGCAGTAGTATGCCCTGTGCCGCCACAGCTATTACAACTCATATACCCACCAGCAGAGCCAGTTGAATTATATCTTGACCCACCACCATATTGACTACCATTATTATTGCCATAAGGACTCACCTGACTTGCACCTACACCACCTTGCCTACTCACATTGTTATTTATTCCTCCACTATATGTTATGTTGGTAGCTGCTGGTGTTGTGATAACACTCTCATTTTTGTGCTCCTCTTTCAAATTAGAAATCATGTCGAGCAGATACCTGGTTTCCGTTTGGAAGTTCACCTTCTCGGCCTTGACCACCGTCGACTTCACCCGCTGCTCGTCGCTGAATATCTCTTCCTTCACCTTTAATTTGAACTGGAACTTGTTGAAGAGCACATTACGAATCAGCTCAGTGAATTTCTCGTCCTCCTGTTCTTCGTACTTCATGTAGTACAGCTCTTTTGCAGATATACCCAACATTTCTCCCGCACTCTCCTGAAAGGCAGTGACCCAGGTCAAGCCCGTGTGATCCTGGATTTGCATTTGGAGGATGTATCTATAGTCGCACTCATCGACTATCTGGTCACACCTATCGCATCTCCATTTCCCGTCCCCGTTATTCGTGACCTTTTTATTGCACTGACGGTCTCCAATCATTAGAGGACAAGCGGTGTAGCAAAAGTTATCGACTTTGATGTAAGTTAGGGTGGCAGAGACCGTGATCCAATCTGGCTTCTCCGAAGTCCCTAGCTTTTCACCTTTAATCTGAGATATTGTTTTCCGAGCATCTGTCCGCACCATACTTGATTCCCTGGATATGGATATAGCTGGGGTACTCTTTCCGTCGTTGGCGAACCATGCTTTGAGTTTGTGAGCTTCAGGAAAATCGGGCTCTATGAACAACTGGCTCGTGGAGATGGTCCCCACTGATTTACCGTTGAAATCATTAACTCGGCCGGCTTTCACAGCCAGAACAGGAAATACTCCGGAGTCACACATGCTCTGAAGTGTTTGTCCCTCAGCACTGCAAAAATTTCCCCACAAAGTCAACTCGACACTCCTCCCGGACATGTCCTTCAGCTGGAGAGTTCTCTTTAGGGTCTCGGTGCCATTTTTTCTCATTATTGAGCTTGAAGGGCTGATAGACGAAACAACTGCAATCACATCAACTACACTGTTGTTGTCTAGGCCTTCAATATCACTTATGGGCCGGAAACAAAACTGCTGCTGTGGGATGGAATTATCATCATCAAAGCACGGTTGCACGGTAGAATTATTGTCCAGCATAATCTCATGGTCATTACGGAGGTGATTAAAGGTTTTCTGTGCTGGTTTCAGAGCCCCCCTCGAGATCATATAAACTCGGCCAGGCTCAATTTGATCATAATATTGATCCGCCACAGCATTGAAGCAAGTCACCCTTATTTCTCCACCATCAGAATCAAGGAGGTCAAATGAGAACACTTTACCTTCACCCCTAGCATTGTTGTAGAGCCTGAGATCACCCTTTGCTGTTACTCTCGCCTTGATTGTCCACCTTCCCTGATAAGGATTCAGGGCCGCAATAGGAATGATTCTTGCAGGAGCTTCGTTCTTGGAGATTGGCCCTCTGTTAGCATACATTGGGGGTGGCTGCTGATATGAGTGAGGAGTGCGGCCATAACTACTGGAAGGAGGTCGCGACATTCCAGAAACAGTTTCTGTTCTGGGATTTCCCGAAAAAGAACCAGAGTAAGAATGTTGTCCTGGAATTCGGTTTTCCCCTGAAACCGGAGCATGAATTCCACCACCCATAGTAGACCTTGGGGCTGAACTACTCATGGCTGTAACAACACTATATGAAGGAGAGTTTCCACCAGAAGGGTTATTCATTGCTGGACGGGGTGCAGGTGATCTCACGACTGAAGGAACACTCCCATCAGTTGGATATTGCATTGGATCTCCAATAAGATCACATTTCTCAACAATCACTTCTAGATCAACCGCGATGATAATCCTGCACAAAGTCCATGAAAAACCATGGTTAATAGAGATTGTAACACATATATGGAACAATACAGTGAAAAAGAGTTCATATGTCCACTATGTTGGGTTCACTAATTACACACCACAGGAATACCTCTCAAAACACTAATGCATTTAAGTTGACATATAAGGACAACAGCAGCAATGACAACAAGATGCACAGACTCATCCCATAGTAGCGAACAGATTTTTTTATTGGAATCATCAGCCCCTGTACCCCATATAATAATAAAGAGAAAGGGATCTGTGTACACTAGACAATGCAGCACATTATTGAAGTAAAAATTCCAAAATTCCTAACTTATTTTAAGAAAAAAAGAACACTTCAACAGCACAAGACACATGAGGCAATGTAGAAAGCTGAAAATTTTGAAATCCATAACATCAAGTAGGAGATCACACCTGCCACACTCATAGATCGAAATAATTACATTTTACTCAAACTATGCAGTAAATGTTTGACCTTCTCACACATTAACCCAGCCACCACCAGATCCCACCATAAAAAGCTCAAGATTACACCATCACAAGTAGCCACATTTCAGATTCTCATACTTTCGAAGACAAAAGAACAAAAGAGACACTGTGTATCGATCACAAATTGGATTGAATTAAGACTGAAAACTACAATTACTCCAAAGAATCCGCTTAACAATTCTTTTTTCTTTCATTTGATACACACCTGGGGAAAAATTAATAACATTTAGGAAAAAAAATATAAAAAAATACTCACCTTTTGTTCTGGACAACGTTACAGACGTACTGCATCAACCGGATGATGGAGCCTTTCTGCATCTTCTCAGACCGCACCAAGTCATTGCACTGGGTGGCGAGCATGCTCTGCTGAAAGAAAACGCCGTCTGAGAGCAAAATCCGGTACCTTTCCACGGCGGCGTTGTTCTGATTCTGAGTGTTGATCAGCCGTATGCTGGTGATTTGCAGCACCGGCTTGAAATTAGACTCCTGAGCCTGGCCGTTGGAGAGCATCGGAATCGCGCCTTCCGTCAGATTGATCGGAGGCATGTTGTGGGAGTCTGAAAGTTCCATTTTTGAAGTTCCCGATTAAGATTATGTAAACTGGAAGCTTGAGAGATGGAGGGATAAATGAAGGGAGAGTTGAAGAGGTTTGAAAACCCTAGGTTTTGGAAAGTGAGATAGAGATGAGGAGAGTGAGCGCCAAATCGTGAAATTTTATTTTCAATTTTAGCTTGCTGGGGACGTTATCTTGTGCGGATTGTCTACCTAGAACGAACCAATCAGCACTCTCTTACGTGCAATTTGAAATTTCTTGACAATAGTCTTCACACCGTGGATATGCAGTCAATATAATTGTCTAATAGGGGGTTGATTGTTTATGAAATCGAAAAAAAAATAATAATAATAATCAAAATTTTAATTTAACTTAGCTTTAATTCAATTTCACTGTCTTTAATATTATCAATATAATTAAATAATATCAACAAATCATTTTTATATATCACATCAACTTTAGAGCATCTCCAATGGTATTTAGATTGCCTCATTTTGTAGCCACATGGCATAAAAAACCTATGTGGCCCTAAAAAAATATTAGAAATCTTTCTAAATGTAGAAGTACTGCTACACAACTTCTATTATATAATATATTTTTTATTCAATTTACTTCTTTTTTCAACCAATTATAATTTTGCACATGTCAAATTAAACCATCTTTAACATTAGTCATTATAGACACAATTTCTTAATCTCCTTCCTTCATGTCATGCAATAAAAAATAGACAAGATACCATTGAGAGATGCTCTTAATTCATTATTCATCCACTCACATAAAATTAATCAATCATCACTTTCAATCATTTTTCTCATATTTTTATATCAAATCAATTTTAATTATTTTATTTTAAATTTAAATATCCACTAACAACTAATCATAGTACCTTTTTAAAAATTAAATATGACTAAAAATTCAATTAAAAACTAGTTCAATCCATATACAATCACACTCTTATAAATTTAATCGTACGAATTTTAAAATAAAAATTGAATTACTAATAAATTGACAAATATTTATTTATCCACAATATAGTTATTCGACTGTTCAACGGTTAATTCTACATAAATCCCCAATCACCTTTTCAAGTTCCTTGTCAGTCCCTTATTCTTTTTTTTTTTCCTCAGCACTCCCTACAACTTTATTCTCTTTCTTCTAAACTACCCATATACATAACTCGACATCGAGCAACTCGTGACTATCACCAAAGTTTCTTCTACTAACAAGGTGGCATAAGTCGACGAGGGATCGTCCCACCCCCAAGAAGACTCTTGGGGGAGATGTTACTGAGGTCACTGTGGTCATAGATGGGTCAACACCTCCTCAGTAGCTTATTGTAGCTTTATTGTATTATTTTATTGTTTTGCTTTTGAATTATTTGTATTCTATGTTTACTTGCAATGAAATTTATATTCTTCACTATGTTGTTTATGATATGTCGACCTCTACTTAAGGTTAATTTTAATTTCTTATCCACCTGCTTGTCATCGTGGTTAAGATAGAATTAAACTTTTGTTGTCCTCATCATTGACGTACTACCGAGGTCTTAAAAACTGAGTCTTTATAAATAGCAGTGATAACAAAAATTATCACAGCTGGCCACAAGCGTAAATGCGTAAAAGCATCTGCATCGCACATTAAATTTGTCATTTAAATGCGCGGTGTTTAAACCAATGGAAGTCATTCATTCAATTATTAAAATAGTGAGTCTCACGTTCATCATTCAATCTATTGAACGGAACTGTGCTTGGATATAAATTTATTTTGATTTGTTTGGATTTTTTAGTTTGGTTTGGTTAATTTTGAAAAAAGTAATATGGTTAGTTATTGGTGGATATATTAAAATAATATTTAAAATAAAATAATTAAAGTTGATGTGATATAAAAGTATGAGAGATTATTTGAAATGATGGTTAGTTAAAATTATGTGAGTGGATGAATAGTGAATTAAAGTTGATGTGGTGTGTAAAAATAATTGGTTGATAGTATTTAATTATATTTATAGTATTGGTTATAAAGGGGTTGAGTTAAAAGTGGTTGAGTTAAAAATAATTAAATTTTTTTAGATAAATTTGCATCCAAGCATCCGCTTGCAGTTTTTGATCTCTCACTAATTTTTTATTATTTTAATAAATAGTGGGTACCATATTTGTCAATATTTAAATGTTCTAACAAATGTGGAAGAGTTTTTAAATGGAGAAATGTTTAATAAAATTGTGATACAGACATAACGTGGATGAAAGAGATTATATTTGATGTTAAAATGAATTGTAATTTATGCATATGCCTTTATACATGGTTCATTCAATGTCAAGTCAGTATGAGAGTATCCATTGGTTCGATTCCACAATCATTCATAAAGGACCAAAAGAGGCAGTCATGGATAGAGTGATCAATATTTGTGTGTACTCTTTCGTGGAAAATCATTATGGTGGAAATATTTGACATAGAATACCTCTCAAGTCTAAGTAGGACCGCTACTAAGCTGTAGCTATATATTCACTAGTTAGACTTACGGCTTAACTAATTTACTTCTTTATCTCTTATTCGAAATTAGGGGGTAATGGTTTCCACGGTTATTTGTCTGAGGGGATTCGAAATTTGAGATACTTGAGAGAGTTGAACGTTTCATATAACCATCTGAGTGGTGAGATCCCAATTGCTCTGGGACAACTGTCAAATATGGAGATCATTGATATATCTTATAACGCCTTCGAAGGTACGCTTGTCGAGGCTCACTTTCGAAATTGGTAGACGTCGATGCAAGTTGTAATTACATGTTGAAATTCAGAGTGGGGTATGATTGGGTGCCTCATTTCCAACTGAAATCCCTCAGCATTGTATCTGTCGAAATCGGAGGTCCATTTCCAGAATGGCTTCAGACCCAAAAAGCGCTTGCTGAGTTAGATTTATCAAATTGTAGCATTAAAGGGACTCTGCCACAATGGCTTCATTCCATGAATCTAACTCACTTAATACTATTCCAAAACCAGATTGATGGACCAATCCCAGAGCTTGCTTCCAGTTTGAAATACTTGGATCTTTCATATAACATGGTAAACGGTTCGATACCTGATTCATTGTGCCAAATGAAATCTCTGGTAGTTGTTGAGATATCCATGAACCAATTATCAGGCAATCTCCCAAACTGTTGGTCGAGCTTGAATTCATTGTACGTTGCTAAGATGTCATCTAATCGGCTCTCAGGACCCATTCCTGACTCCATTGGGGGAGCTTACGCGTTGGAATGATTGCATTTGAACAACAACAGCCTTACTGGGGATATTCCTTCTACTTTGAGTAAGTGCCAGAGGTTGATTGTTTTGGATGTAGGAGAAAATATGTTATCTGGGAATTTGCCACTCAATGGATAGGAAGTCATCTGCTTGCTTTGGCGGTTCTTAGGCTAAGGAGTGATAGATTTTATGGTGCCATTCCATCTGGATATTGTGATCTGTACGAACTCAAAGTGATGGACCTTTCACACAATGACTTGACTGGAAACAACCCATCCTGCTTAGGCAAGTTATTAGGAATGATCAAGGGTGACACAATCTCTGGTGAGTTTTCATTACTACACTCTATCTATCTACATAATCTCTTATCCGTGTCCTGTCATAATAGATCTACTCACATGAATAATTTTTTTTACAGTAAATTTTTGAATTCTTTTGTAACAAATCAATAACATGTAACCAAAAAATTCCTCTTTTGGTGAAGCGGGATATTCCAACTGGTCGCGCGAGCGTTTGGCTTTTGTGTTGAAAGGACGGATGTTGGAGTTCATGAAGTTATCAACGTACTTGGTCCTTTTGGATCTTTCAAGTAATTATCTTGTTGGAGAAATACCTTCAGACCTTACAAAATTGGCTGGCTTACTTGCCCTTACAAAATTTGTGTAGCTGCATGTGACATTTACTCCTATTTTTATGCAAAGTGTGAGGCTTTTTAAAAAAGAACAATACTTGTTGTTATAAATTTGCACGTTGAGTGTTTATAGAAAATAATATTGCTCAGCAGCAGGGATTGAGATTAGAGATGATTGGTGATTTTTGTCTCTCCCTTATGGATTCTCATCTCAACTGAGTAACGTCATTATATCCAAGGCAAAACAGAAAACTTGAGCTTGTAAATTGATCTATTTGTGGAGTAAATGACTTGTCTCGGCAAGTCAATTTTATAGTCTTTAGCATAAAACTTCTCCAAATATAATATTGCTCAAATTTTTATTTATAAATCCATAATATAGTACAGGAACCAAGAACAACAAGTGCAAACGAAATGCATTTGAGATGAAAGGCACCAAAGTCACATTTGAGTGAATGTAAAAGCCTAAATAGATTATATTCTGCGTTCCAAAACCAAAGATTCATCTATTTTTTAATTTCTTTTAGAAGGAACGGTTTGAAGTTGATATCCATATATGATTCTTATCACAAAGTCAGGAAGTTTCGATCTAAAGATTGGCATCTAATAAATTTGGCTAAACTCAATGATTACCACGTTTAATGTTTTTTAACTTTCATATTTTGAAATTTGAAGATATCATCCATAAAGGGTTTTTTTTACATTATATCAAATATTTTTCCTTCTTCAATTTTTGTTGTACAATCAAACTTCATGTAGTACACTGGGGTCACTAATTACCAATATTTGTAAGGAATAGCATTGGGTGAGATACATTCTGTACTGCCTAACGCTGTTAGTCCTGAATAATAATCTCTTTTCCCTGTAGGACCCGATCTAATTGCAAAGGCTGCCATAACCGAGTGATTAATTTGTATTAGTGTGGATGAACAGTAAATGTTGATTTAGGTGGACCAACTCATAAACTCATTATACCTGCTTGGCCTATATGCCAAGATGAGTGCCCCATGTTTTCAGTTTATAGTTACTAGTAAAGTGCACGTGCGATGCACGTGGTATCGAATGATTTTCGCTGAGTAAGTTTGTAAAATAAATTAATTTATTTATTAAACATATTATTGCAGGAATGAAATAAAATGTAGAACAAATGAATTCATATTTGATTTTTTTTTATTTAAAATTATCGTAATGATGTCCTAATATAAAAAGAGTGAAATAACGTTTTACAACCCCCAACTAAAATATTTAAAAAACAAATCCTTAATACAAAAAACACTAAGATTTTCTTTCATTTTTCTCATAAGAAACATTCATACTCGTTGGAGTCCAATACATCAATACTATTGCAAAATTCCTCTTAATTCATTTGGCAAAACGATAATTTTATTCAAACACTTAAGAAACATTTTGACCCAACATATAGTCAAACTTCATGATCGTATAATCTTTATAATAAGGTACTTCTACTAACAATGCATAAATACCTCTATGAAATAACTAATTGTGTCATTAAAATTGCTGGTATTTTTTATCATTGTATAAACTATTACATTCCCCTGTCTCTACACATATTGGTGCCTACACCATTGATGCATCGCCCCACGAGGTGGGAATGAATTTTATCTCCAAATAAAAGTTGACTTTCCAAAATTTTGGTTACATGTACTTCTCCCGAGGTGCTAAATTATTTTTTGAAATCATCATACATTATCTGAAAGTACCTCTAAAGTAATTGCACATATGTTCGCGTACAATACACCAATGAGATTATAAATATTTCTATAAAAAGTAACAACTTCATTCGAACATTCAAAACTGTTTTGATACTCCGACATTGTTATTTATTTGGAATATAGACGAACAATATAATCCATTATTTGAAAATTATTGACCATCATGGTTGTCGCAATGATTTTAGAATTGTTTATCATAATATCTTCACATTCGTTTGAATGTGCAATATTTGTGTGCCTAATAACTTCTTTATTGCTTTTATTGTCCAACATTATTCATCATACAAAATCTATATATCTATATATAATAAGAATTAACATTTTTCAAAATTGGCAGGTCAAATTCTGGTCAAACACAAACAACATTAATTACATGCTATTAATGGAAGTGTTTTTTTTTTATCCTTCAAAATAGCCCCGCATTAATGTTGGCGTAAAGAGGTGTTGTTTGTTATTTTTTATGCATAAGATGGGGCTTTTACTTTTAAACTTTCACAAAATCAACAATTTTTTTTTAAAGGAAAATCATGTATCACAATTGCATTTTTTTTTTAGATAAAAAAGAATTTATGGCTAATTTAATAATAAAAATTTACTTTAGTTTAATGAAAAATCGGAAACTTTTTTTAACATCAAATCGGTTAATACAATTGATTTAAATGTCGGCTTTTATTTTTTAATAAAAAAAATACGGCTAATTTAATACTCAAAAATATAAAAAAAAATTATTTTGTTTTGTTTTTTTATAATTTATTTTTTTAACCATTAAATCTGCCAGTTATGTTTTGATTGCTCAAAAAATGGGAAATTTTTTTAACATCGAATCGGCTAATCAAATTATTTTAAATGTCGGATTTTATTTTTTAATAAAAATTAATTACAGCTTATTTAATAATCAAAATATAAAAAAAATATTATTTATTTTGAAAATTATTTTTAACCACTAAATCTAGCAGTTACGTTTTGATTGCTCAAAAAATAAGAAACTTTTTTAACATCAAATCAACTAATACTATTGTTTTGAATGTCGGCTATTATTTTATAATAAAAATATATTACTGATTTAATAATCAGAATATATAAAAAAAAGTAATACAAATTTAGATTTATCAAATATAATCCCCTCAAATAATGAATTAGTTATATTTGTGAATACCAAATCCTAAAGTTGCGCTTGATTTAAAAATATCATCCCTTATTCCAAATAAAATTATAAGTCCTTATCTATTTATTGTAACAGATTTTCTAAGAAATTATCGTAACAAGAATTGTTTTTTTCCATAAAAAACGTTAATTCACTCTTACGTCTAATTACTAATATAATTTTTTATATAATATTTTATCAGGTCATATTATATCTATATATACATATACATATACACATATATATATATATACATATTAAATTTAAATATTTTTAAACATGTTTTCTTTACAAAAGAGTTTAGAAAACATCTTTCATATAAATGTGAAATTCAAATGTCTTTAAACATGTTTTTTTCCAAAATAGTTTAGAAAAACTGTAGGTGAGTTCACATCTTTTAATAATAATAAAGAAATTTTTACCTACTTTTAAATGTTTTTAATAAAACCTGGTTTTTTCATTTTGAGAATCATTACGAAAGAGACAAAAGTGGCAGTCATTTTAAACATACAAATTTTATGTTTCTTTTGTACAAGTAAATTTTATATTGTTGATAATAAGCTGACATACGGTAAATTATATCACATGTTAATTTCACATCTTTAATTTATAATTATTATTTAATATTATCCCACATCTTTAATTTATAATTATTATTTAGTATTGTTTACTCTCATATTTAATTTATATTTTTTTTTATTTTCTTTTGAAAGAGGAAAATAGTGGTTCCCCACTTCTTTTATTGGGTAACTCGAACTCGAGTCCTATTTATAATTATTATTTAATATTATTTACTCGTGCATCGCACGGGCTACACACTAGTGATTATAAATTCAAGATAAAGATCATTTCTTTATTCTCCAACAATGATAAAACAAAACAATCAAAACAATGAGAAAATATTGAGAAGCATATCATTTGTTAAAATATTTGATAGGAGAAGAATTAAAATTCTATTATATTACGATACTCTTAGTCATCTGCAAAGTTTATTATTATGGAGTCATGATTAAAATATACATTATGTATTACAAATTTTTGGATTTTTTATTTATTTAAAATTAAACATAAATAATATAGGATCATTATTTATGAAAACCAATTTCTTACAAAGTCCATATATTTAAACGCTAGCAACAAAAAAGTAGTAATTTTCAAAGACTTTTTGTTTGTAAATATTGGTATTCATACTTCTCTAAGAAAATTCACACGTATTCTTTTTCTCATTGTGTTACTATTATATTATTTGTTTCTTATTCTTAGATAAATAATATTTTATTTGCTAAATAATTAAAGCACATTTATATGTATTGTGTTATTTTTTGTATGTGTTTTATATAATGATGTTTTCAAGTTATCTTTTTTATTAGGCTACAACTACTATAATCACATAAGATACAATGTAAATTTAATATATTTGATAAAAATGTACTTTTTCTACGAATTATTAGATTAAAAAGTTTACAATTTTTTCCAATGTTTGATAAAATATTAGGCAACTAAGTCATTCTTTTTCAAGCAGTAATTGTGTAATAGTTTAACGTATAACTATTTATTTGTCTTTTTAATTCACATAGCTAATGTTATTTCATTTCCCTTCTCTGGCCTACTCTTTTCCTTCTTTTATCTATGACTTCACTTTGCTTCGCTTCGTTTGTACCTAAGGTGCATTCGCCATAATTTCAGCATTACGACAACCCAGTGTCAAATATATATCGGGAATTGGCGCTCTAGCCAAAACGTAGGAATAATTGTAAGTTTACCTCCATTTTTTTTTAATATGAATTGTTTCAAATCTATGCAAGAAAAATATACCACAAGTTTATCTTATGTTATTTTATACTTAATAAAATTGATTTAGCTTGAATAAAAAAATTAATATATACTATAATTTTAGGTCAATTTATTATTTTTAAATTAGTACTGATATATATATATATATATGTATGTATATGTGTATATATATAATATATCGAAATAAATAATTATATTATTTTTATTTTATTTGCAATATATTGGTCAACTCAAACATTATTGAAAAGAAATGATGATATATTACATACAAAAAGAGTAACAAATAATAAATATGAAGTATTTCAAAATTAAAATATATGTGTATCTTAAGTATGTTTTATATTTCTCATTAGCCAGTTCCAATTGATATTGTACATTAAGTAATTTTATCAGTAATTTTACTCTTGGATTTAATGAGAGCTATAAGTTTTCTCATCATTCTTACCCCTTATTTAGTTATTATAATATTAATAAAATAATTAAGGACCTTTCAAAGTATCTTGTTGGTTTTGAAACAAAAATTACTTATTATCATAAATTAAACGACAATTACATTGAATATGTTATATTTTCTAGAATTTTCATAATAATAGTTGCACACAATATTATATA